TATCCTTCTTCATTGAACCATTTGTATTAAGAGAAAGAAGGGACGACACAAAAACTACTATGGGCGAATTTCATATGATCTCTTAACTGTTGTCTCTTTTCACTTTGACCATTAATTTATTAATTTATCAATTAGACAACTGAACTATTTAAATGGTGTTAATCAAGTCGCCTGCCTAACGTTTAATTGAAGTGTTGATGTGGTAGTTAGCAAAATGTATAATTATATCAATTTTATTAATGATCATGCCAACATTTCTATTAAATGTTAACGATGTATGACTTGATTGGCATCATTTAAATAGGTAAGTAGTCTGATTGATAAAATTGAAAAATCAATGATTAAATTGAAAAGATAAAATAGTTAAATGGTCATATGTATAGTTTACCCTAAAATCTAACCAAATAATGTGCATTTTCTTTTACCGATAATGTCATTACAAAATTCATGAAGGAACAGTGTTTTGTTCTGTCATAAAGTACTTTTGATTGGAATCTCACAACAGTTGTTTTTAATTTTTATTTTTCTAATGGCATATTTTATACTCATAAAATTTCAGAAATTTATCTTTAGAAATTTACTGCATCCTAAAAATGTTATAGCCAAATGTAAAAATAATTCCTTACTTGTTTTAGGGTTAATTATAAATTTCATACTTGAATTTTTTTTCTATTTTAGACACTAAATTTTTTAAAATGCCGATTTGGCATTTTTATTAACTTTAGACCCAAAAAAATGTTTGCCCTGTAGAGTTTAATTTTATTTTGAAAATCTAACCTAAATTTTAAATACTAAACCAATTCTAAACCATATATTTATCTCTCTATATCCACTGCAATTGGTCATCAATGAGCATTTTATTTAAAAAAAATGTTTATCACAAAAATTGTCAATTTTAATGTATAAATGCATGAAATTCTGCTCTAAAACTGGAACAGCAAAACCCTAAACAAATAGTGGAAATTGGCAATGACAATGTTAACCAATTAGGTAAATTTTGGGTTTTCTTTACATTCCATTATTGACTAACCCTAATGGGAGGCAACCAACCTATCTAATTTAGCTAACACGAGCTAGCTAGTTAGCTATTTCTCCTTGGTTCCAACAGCTATGGAAATTTTGGAGAGTCCACTTTACTTTATATTATTATTTTTAATTTCCAATATGCTACCATATTTGCAGGTTTGAGATTCCAAATGCAGGAGATGTGTTTCCTTACTGTAAGTGGGAACATTTTTGTTTTCTATTTTTATCAAATTCTAATTCTTAAACTTCCTCACTTATGGCAGTCATGGCTCCTCTTAATATATTATAAGATATTTTATACTTTTGGAGAATCCCAAGATTCAAAATAGGAAAAAAAATTAAGTAAAATAGTAATGTATAAAAAAGAGAGTGAAAGAAAAAACCTTTTTCTTTCCCTACTCCCTAAATCAACCTTTGCCAGAGGAAATGGTTAAATGAATGTTAAATTTTGTTCTTTTAACATTTGATTTTATGGTAGGTTAGTAATGCAAATAATTTCATATTAAGTAAGAATTATTTATTGTGGTTCGGTTCAGTTAGTATGTGTTTTTTATCCCCTTCCCACATGATATAATTAAAATTAAACGTAAAATTTGTCAAAAAAATTATATATTAATGACCATAAGTTTTTAATACATTAAATGGTTGAATAGAATTTTACCAGTGTATAAGTGGGAATGAATAATATCTATACTTCAACGGGTTGATTCAAATGGTAAATAATTTGATATTATTTGTATGAGTCTTGTGTTCGAGCACTTGTTGTGTATGTAGAAAATCTCCGTTGAAAGACTCACCGACCACAATAAAGTGTGCGACTCGGATTGGTCTCAATTAACTAAGACGAAGCCTTATGAACCGAAAAGACAACAACAACAAAAATAATAATAATATTTTTACGATAGAATGTTTGAAACTATTAATACAATTTATTTTTAAAGGATTGAATTGATGATAAATGAACAAAGTGTTTTTTAAATATTTGAATTGATGATGAATGAAAAAATGTATGGTCTAGTTTTGACAACGAATTCGATGGCTTCAGAATAATTTTGTGTTAGAAACTAAAACGATTTCAATAATTTTTTTTTTGTAAAAAATTATTTATTATTTATTAATTACGATAAACAATTATAATCTATTTTATAATTTAAAATGATTATTTGAAGTCCTTTTAAGAAAGTTTAAGTTATATAAACAAATTTAATTGTGTGTCATGAATTTTCTCCTCTTTTAATAGGTTTTAGTTAGATTCTTTCAGTTATTTAAGAGAGTAATTATGGCTAATTTTTTTATTGCTCTTCTCACATTTTCTTTCAAGATCTCTTCTAATTTTATTAAAAGAAAATTTGTGTATTAGTGAGGGAATTTTGATAATACAGAAAATCCCATATTTAATAAGAATCGTCTGCTGTGATCTCATTTGATTCATACATGTTTCTTTCTAAAAAAATATTATTTTATTACAATTTATATTTTATTGTTTTTAGTTGTTACGAAATATTTAGTACATTCTATGATCATTAAAATAGTGTTTATGATAATATATTATTTTATAAGTATTATTGGATTGTTTTTATCATATCCCTACTATATATTAATTTTTAATCATGTAAATATATTTTTCATACATGAATTTATTAAGTGATGAAACATAAATTTAATACATGTACAACTGAATTCGTCGGACCGTAGGCACTTATCGTAATTGGTATTTTCATAAATGGCGCAAAACTTTGAAACATTGTAGTTTGACCTCCGAATTTCAAAATTCCAACTCTGACCTCCAAACTTCATGGAATAACAACATTACCCTCAAACTTGTGAAATTCCCACTTTATCCTGAAATTTCATATTTAAGTTCAATTTACTACCTAAATTTCCTAACTTTACAATTTAATTCAGATTTTCACCATTTTCAAAGTTCGATTAAAATTACGTACAAGTTCTAACCCGATTTCAAGACGTGACAATTGATTTACAAGATTCAATCTATTAGTGAATCCATTATCACACTTGAATAAAGTTCAAGCAAGGTTTTGGAAGTTTTTCATTGCTTCTAATTAGTCCGCCTCCTCACTTTTTGTTGCCTCATAGTGTTTGATTAACTAATTTTCTTTGTTATTGTTTTTGATTAATGAATTTGAAGGTTAAACTTTAAAATTTAAATTTGAAAAAACCCTAAAAATTTGATGTATCAATTGTAAACTATCAATGCTATTTTTTATCCTTTTAATATTGTTAGGCTAATTTTTAAAAATATATTGATAATTTTTATTTTGAATTTTATACATATTTTAAATATTTTTTTATTAATCTAAGGTAAATATAATGTAGTATCTATTTAAAAATAACTCTTAACATTTTGACAATAAATGCCAATGCCCCTAACATCTATGGTAACAATGAAAATAGGATATTTGATATAGTAATTAAATCAATATATTTTTATACAATATTTAAATCATTTAAACTTTATTATGTCTTTAAATTTAAAAATAATACGTGTACAGATACTTTCAAATTTATATTTTTTAGATATAATAATATAATATGAACTAGTTAAAACTCAATTAACCGTACCTATTAATTAAATCAATCCATTTCTCAATTTAATAATGAGTTGATATATCGTCAGGATATAAATAATATACTAAAGGTGTTTGGATGGGAGAACGTGAGATATTTATAGGAATGAAATCCACATTCTTTCGTTTGGTTAGTTCGGAAATCTCATTCTTGGTAATGTAAGATTATCAATAGTGGCTTTTTTGGGGTATATTATCGGGAATGTCATTACCTCCTTTTCCTTATGTATTGTTGGATTACCGACGTTTTGGACTAAAATGCCCTTAATTTTTTTTTTCAAAAATATAATTCTTCTGTCATTGAATAATAAAAATTCTATGAATGTTAAATTATAAATTTATCCTTAAACTATTTTAGATTTACAAAAAAATCTATAATTAAAATTTTATATGAAGTTCAGGGGTTAAAATAAAATTTTTACCCTTTCATTAAACCTTTTTATATTTTAAATTTTGTAAAAAAAATTATATAAATTTTATGAATTTAAATTTTTTAAAGAAAATATATAAATATTTTCCAACTTGTAATATTATAAAAATATATAATAAGGACAATTTGGTCAAATATACATTCTAAAATCTACGGTAATCTTACATTCCTGCTAAGCTAACTAAACTTAAAATACAACATTCCTAGTAATTCTATTCCCTGGTAATCTTACATTCTCATTGGTAATCTTACATTTCGTGAACCAAACACACCCTAAGGATTAGTTAGGTGTACATTTTGAAGAGTGGTATTTAAAAATGTTGTATAAATGAACTTTTTAAAAATATTTAATAAAAGCACATTTTAAAATTTAAATGTTAGGAATTACTGGTAAAAAGTAAATTTGAAAAAAATAAAATGTTCATTATAGAAATTATGTATTTTTATTAGAATAAAATATATTTATTTTTTAAATGTATCAAAGTTTTTTATTTTTTCATCTTCTCTATATTTTAAGGTTTTGTTCGGTTAATTCAAATCAATATTATTATACATTTGATTTATTACGTGAATCTTATAAAAACATGTTTTATTTACATAAAATTTTAAACGTGAAATTTATTTAAATAATATTAAATTGATTATGATTTAAAAGAACTCCGTTAAGAAAAAAAAGCAATTCTTTATCTATCATAAGTACTTTGTGGGGATACACGCGCCAGAGGAAGGAGAGTAGAAGTGAAATTGAAAGGCTGCAATATTTGGCATACAGCCCTTGGGTCACTATCACCTCTGCCAAACTTGTCCTATATTTGGCAAAACAGTTTCCTGTTAATTTATTTTTACTTACAACAACTCATTAACCACAGGTTTCTCAATGACTGAGCTCTCTTCTATTTCTTTGACATATCTTGGCCCATTGGATAATCTCCCTCTCTTACTTTATCAACAGTGTTTTAACTTCAGTTTTATTGCCTTTTTCTGTCAAACCAAACAAAAAAAAAAGAGAGAATCTGATCATCTCTGATCTCATTTTTCCATCTTTAACCATACTTTTTTATAGTTCATATGCTCCATGTAACTGCAGTCTTTCAAGAATTTTCTTGCAGAAACTCTCAGCTTGATTGCTGGTTTGTGTTTGTGTGGTCGTCATCTTCGAACTCTCTCCGTCTCAGTTAAATTTCACCGAATCTCCTCTTCAAAAAGAAAACCCTTTCTTTGTTTTGTTATTGATTAACATGGAAAGCCATGCAAGATCTTGCATTTCATCGTTTCTTGTGTTATCACCATCATAGTCTCCAATATAATTGTAAATGAACAGTCATCGTCACTTAACTTTTTCTCCAATTATTGCTCTCTGCAAAGAAAAATAACTGTTCATTCTCTTTTTATAGAAGAATGAAGTGAAAACCCTAATCAGTTCATCAAAACAACAATCCAAGATTTCTCTCTTTCTCTTGATAATGGATTTGGTAAGCTCAAGCACCATAGCAACTACAGCTACCAACAAAAACAGCAGCGATATTATCACTAATGCAACACCAATTCTACCGCCACCGACCACTCCGAGCCGCTACGAGAACCAAAAGCGTCGAGACTGGAACACTTTCTGCCAGTATCTGCGAAACCATAGGCCTCCGCTGTCTCTTTCGATGTGTAGCGGTGTCCATGTTCTCGAGTTCCTTCGGTACCTCGATCAGTTCGGCAAGACCAAGATTCATAACAACGCTTGCCCTTTCTTTGGCCTCCCTAACCCGCCGGTTCCTTGCCCTTGTCCTCTCAGACAAGCTTGGGGTAGCCTCGACGCACTTATCGGTCGACTCCGTGCTGCTTACGAGGAGCACGGAGGCATGCCGGAAGTGAATCCTTTTGGAGCTAGAGCTGTGAGGATTTATTTGAGGGAAGTCAGGGATTTCCAGGCCAAATCTAGAGGGGTTAGCTATGAGAAGAAAAGGAAGAGGCCTAAGCAGAAGGTACCAGCTGCCCCATCAGCACAACAATCATCATCTGCTCCAGCACTTGTTGCTGATGCCACTGCTGCAAGTAAGTTAACACAGAAATTTAACCATCATGGTGAAAAATTATCAGAACTTGTTAATTTTAAGGATTTTTTTTTTCATATTTGAGCTTGTACCCTCTCTGTATTTTTTTTTTTTGATCATTTGAAAACAAAGTAGTCTACTTTGAAAAGTGCGTACCCTTCAAGTTGCCCTTTAGGGGGACACTTTGTAATGGTTTACTGGCAGCATGACCAGTTACTAGGAAGCAGCTGGGAATCAATAGTACCAAACAGAAAATGATGGCAACAAGATCTTACTATATTTAGTAGGAAAAAACCCGGTTTTAATTTAATTAGTTATTGCAATTTTGTAAACCTAATAGTATGGAATGATAAGAATATAATATATGTTCAGAATTTTTTTAATCTATTAATAGCATACATATATCGTAGATATAATCACTCAAATTCGGATCTCTAAAAAAACATTTTATATTATCATTAGGTTATTGATGAGTTCGTAAAATTAGATTTAAACCTCAATCATTTAATCAAAATAGTTTATTTTGGCTTGATGCTAATTAACGAGGACTTTTATTTCTTGCAGAACATACTATGTAATGGAAGAAGGACAAGAGTGCTCTTGCAATCAGCAAGTGTCTGGATGATATGTTTTTAATGGGTTTTTGTTCCTTTAAGGTATTTCTCTATTTTTACTTCATGAGTTGATCATCTTTCAATGGCTTATATAGCTGAACAAACACATGTTATATTTATATAATTTGAGGGTATAAGCCAATGCAACTTCTAGTAGATATGTATTTTGTATTCTCTATGTTTTTTTTTCATATATTAATATGAAATATATTTATATATATTTGTTCTCTTGCTCGTTATAAGTAATAAATTATTATTAAGAGGAACATATATTAGCCTAAAATATAAATCATAAAATAGACATAAAAAATTATCAAACAAGACATTGAGGATGTGGGAACTCAAAGCTTGTTCATTGTATAGGCCAAGTATATTAGTGTTGATAGGAGAAATGGAGTTATAGCCATTTTATATAAATTATTCTGCTTAATTTGACCGAAGATTCGCAGTTAGTGTAGAGGAGGTAGGGAGTAAATATGCTTAGCAAGATGATGAATAGGGTTAGAGATTGAGAGTGTGTCTCCTTCTTTAATCTTGTATAATGATTTATATACCGACTCTTAATGTTGGTATCGAACCTAATATCACAAAAAATATTTATAGATTATCATACTAAATAGATTTGAATGATAAATAATAGATTCAATAATCATATCAAGAGACTATAACTGTACGAAGAAACAAATTTAAAAGATTTTAAAAACTCTAAAAATCTCTACAAGTGAAAGATTCACAATAAATGTATATTTTACGAAAGAGTTATTGAAGAAGTGCAACTATTAGTCAAAAATCCAAGTCATTAACAAATTTTATATTAAAAATAAATATTAAATAAATCAATATATAGTCCTAAAATATTTAAGAATATATTACTTTCACTAAATTTAAGAAGAAGAAAAAAGCAATAATGTAATTATTTCGATAAAAATAAATCGATAAATAAACATCATAATTATGAATGCCATTAGACACTCATAATTGTGAATGCCATTAGACACCAATTAACATTCTTGTATATAAGTTCAGGGGTGAGTGTTTGATTGAGTTGATTTAAAAAATTTTGAGTTATTCGAATTAACGAGTTATATTTTATAACTTGAGTTGACTTGAAATTTTTTCGAGTCGAGTTGAGTCAAATTTTTTAGTTTCTATTTAAATTTAATTGTAAATATTTATAATATTACGATATTATTTGATTCCAATTTAAATGATATTTTATAACCATATACAATACATATATATTTTCTTGTATTTTTTTCATATGTGATTTACATATACAATACAAAGTCGAGAGACTTGATTCAAATTTGAAAATCAGTATACTAGTTACTAAAAAATTCGAGTTATTCGAGTTGTATTTTACAACTTGATTTGAACCTGAAATTTTTTCGAGTCGAGTTTATAAAATTACAAATCGAATTTAATTCAAGTCGAGTTTTTTTTTCAAATCGAGTTGAGTCGAGTTTTACTCACCATATATATAATTAAAATATAATAACCATGAAATCTATTCTAAGGCAAAAGACAAAACCTAGACTCATCTTTTCTAATATTGGCGACAGCTAAAACAAAACACATACACGCATGTCATAAAAGTGTTAGATTTGTACAAAATTTTGAGCCAATATAAAGAAGATGGAACAATGGAGGTTTGAAAGCCTAATCAAAGGGATGTATGATAATCCACTTGGGCAGACAACTTTTGAACATTATTTATGGATAATACTTGTTTAATACTAGGCTGATGTTTTGCTTGTCTTATTCTTAGGGTATATATGATCTTTTAATTATCTCATTAAAATATCATAATTTATTTATTCATTGTGTGATATCCTAGAACTGCTTACACAAGTAGACTGGCTCTTATTGGACTCTATGAAAAATTACACACTGCAAAGAAAATATTAACAAATGCTTATTCATGATGGCAAGCTATATTCTAATTAGTAATTATGACATTTATATTCGAGTTGAGTAACATATACATATAGGGTTAAGTTCTACTTCCATAATGTAAAACTCTTCAATTTATATAGATTTAGAACCGTTGGATGAATAAAAATAGATAGTTGAGACTTCTTTTTTTTTTTCAAGTAATTTTTTTCACATTTACTACGTCAGCCTCACTCATAAGCTTTTCCTCATTCAATGTAATTAAATCTAAGTAAAACTAACAATATTTTACATTGTATAACAGTATTTAATGATCCTAACTCATATATATATATATATATATATATATATATATATATATATATATATATATATATATATATATGATCCAGGTCATATTGTTCAAACGGAACTAGTTTCTTAGCTCTGGAAAAACTGATACATTTTCCAGCTAAGAAAATGGTGGACCATATCCCACAACATATAAACTGCATGCATGCATGCACCAACTTGAGTAGTCATATTTGTTGTGTCAGTTTAGGTAGCACAGAACTCAAGAAAGCCTTTATAATTTTGTCTTGGGGTTAACAGTAGAGGTCGCTCTTCAAATTATAATTCCACCATTGCTTGTACTGCAGATTTTTGACTTCCCAGAATAGCAAAGTAGCAATACACATGATATATATATATATATATATATACATAGATGGAAGTATACGTGTACAAGTGAGTGATTTTAAATGATTCTTGACGAAAAGTTATTACATGAATTCTTTCCACTACCTCAATTATAGTCTTTATCCAATTAAATGAGTATACATTACATTTATTTTTTACATCATATTTTCTTTCCACTACCTCATGTTTTTGTTATATTCTTTCTTTGATTCACCATTATAATTCATCTTAAGAATTAATCCTTTTCAATTGTGTCATATAAAAGGAAATTCTCATATATCATACATAAATCTAGAAATTCTCATATATTTTTAATGAGACTTTTTTGGTTAAGAAAAAAATAAATTTGAAAGAAATTTAAATTTTTTGTATTGATTTTAAATCTTGATTATATTGGTGAACCAAAGAAAGAGCATAGTAAAACATGTAGGTCTAATGCTTAAGATTGGGGAAGAAAAGGATGGGATAAAGAAGAAGAAGTGATTTTTAATTTAGATTATAATGGTGGATTAAAGAAAGAGTAGAGCAAAACATGGAGATTTGATGCTTTAAGATTGGGGAAGGAGATGATGAGATAAAGAAGAAAATGATTTGAAAATTTTAATTTTTAAAGAAATATGATCTGAAAAATAGGGCTACAAAACTTGGTATTATTAGAAATGAAAGATGGAACTAAACATAGGCACAGAATATGTGGCAAAATTTGCATACAAATTCTGCATCATACACTAAAATTAGGGTGAACGTAGACATCGTATTTACGGGGCTAAAACTGAATTATTAATTATTGGGGGATTATAATGCAATTCTATCATTTTATTATAATTTTATTATTTTTGAAAGGATTAAAGATAGATATCAACAATTAGTTGGTCTAGTGGGATGAGACACTAAATCTCTTAAATAAGTTAGGGTTTCGAATACTGACGTTTACGAATAGAACAAACTATATTGAGAGGGTTGATTTCACCTCTGCAATATCTGATATGGATTAGTAAATCAATAAATAATATTAATAATTAATTATAAAATTATGTCATTTTAAAGAATAAGACTGTGCACTGTTGCCTAGTGAGGTTTTATAAGGTGCGCGAAATGCACGATTTCCTATAACCACAATAACTCCGTACTGATAAAATATCCCCGCGATCTACGGTGAAGGGTAAGCAGTTGACACGTGCATAATCAGGTAGACCCTACAAGTACCGTGCTCCCACGTGGATGTTTGTACTGCTTGTCTACAAATACAGAATTCGACAGCTATTTCTGCTTCGTGTGACGTGTGGGCTCCACTCATTTATCCTACATGGCGTTATATCAACCCTGGGATGTACCTGATGTGTGCGTACTAGGAGTGAGCCTTCTATTGATGCGAGATAAGTAAAAAAAAAAAAATCGAGATATTCAAGTTGTTGATTTATATTTTATAATTTGAAATTGACATTAAATTTTGTCAGGTCGAGTTGAGTCGAATCGAATTTTTGAATAAATTTAAATGTAAATATTTATAATATGATGATATTATTTGATTTTAATTTAAATAATTTTTATAAATATATACAATACATATATATTCTGTAGATGCTCGATTTGTCCGGGATCTTTTCTGAAGTTGAATTGGATTTATTGTCGTTTATATGATTAATGTTTGGTTATATTTATATATGATATATGAGCAACTAAGCAATTATAATGAATGATTAAGCAATTAAAATACATATGAGTATACTAAATAAATGTTATTACAGGCCCAAGCTGAAACAAGTTACAACAGGCTGGATTAAACAGCCCAAACAACTGAACCCTAAACCCGTTAGGGTTTTCCTTTCCCGCTACCAGCTCTCGGCGCCGCACCACATTTGGCCGTTGGACCTGGCATCACGATTCAACGGTTCACGTGATGCCCACACCCGACAGCACACTGACCGAGAAGCTCGGTTCCCAGGCAGAGCACGATCACCAAGCCAGCATGCGCAGCTCCACTGACAGGAAACCCGTGTTGATCGGCCACCCATCCGATACCAAGGCCACCATTATCGTCGCCCGTGATCACCATGCCCAACCGGGGGGCCCTGCACACAAAACAACAGAACACGAGGAAGCAAAAAAAACGAGGAGAACAACAAGAAAAACAGGGTCCAACCATCAAGAAAAGGGGGGGAAATCGTCCAAGAGAGGAGAGGCTCAACCCATCAGCCATCATCGAAGGAAAAAAAAGGGACAGAACCAAAAAGAAAACTTCCAGTAACCAAAAAATCAACAAGAACCCAAAAATCCACCATCAAACGGAAAAAAGGAAAAAACAAAAACCCACCTCATTAATCCAGAAAGCTTCCGTCGCCCTTGCTAGGAACCGAGAAGAAGGTAGACCCTTCGTCTTTCGTTGTTTTCTAAGTCGTGCATGTCGGTTTTGAGCAGTGGGTTGTAGGTTTTTGTTGGGTTTGAGTTAAGATTCGGTCGGGGTTGCCCTCGGGTCCTTTGAGTATCTTGTTGGAGTCTTAGGAGAAGGGAAATCTGGGTTTCGAGGGGTTTTGGCCTTAGATTCAGGTTGGTAACTACCGGGGTT